GGTTTAAAATTTTAAAAACTGCTTTTAATTTAGCTGAAATAAATCAAATAAGACTTTCTCTTGAAGAAAAAATATCATCAGACATACTGTGAAAATTTCCTTGCTCTTAAACATCTTTTGGGAAATATTTAAAAATGAAAAAACAATTCTGACTTCAACTGTGCATATATATATATATACACACATCTTTAAAATATAGCCTGTATACGTCCTTTCCTCTCAAGCCCTGACGCTAAAAGACTTGTCCTTGCTTTTATCACATCACGCTTGGATTTTTGCAATCATACATGACATGGAAACAAACAGATTTTAAAAAAATTAAGCTCCAGGGGTTCAATCTAATAAAATAAAATTAAAATTAATTAAAGGAAAAGAAAAGAAAATAAAAAAGAAAAGAAAAATAAACAATAAAAATAAAAGAAAAGGAATAAAAAAATAAAATAAAATAATAAAATAAAAAAATATAAAATATTAAATTAAAATAAATGTAATGACATTTAAAAATTAAAAAAAAAATTAAATAAATTATTTTTTATTAAATTAAATTAAGTTTAAAAAAATCAATAGAAAAATAATTAATTAAAAAATATGTAAATAAAGATTTAATTAAATTAAAATAAATAAATAAATGAAATAAAAAAATCTATAATATATATTATAGATCGGCTACTATAGTAAAAAAAAAAAGTTAATTAAAAAATAAAATAAAGCATCCACAATAGAACTGCTACTACAATAAAAATGTGAATTACTGATATCAAGAATTAATATGATGCTAACTGAATATAAATTATTAAAGTGTGTAAATGTATCTCAACATGTTGTATTTCTGATATCTGAAAATGCTATTCTGATATGAATACAATGTTTTTTTCATACATGACATGGAGACAGACAGAAATTATTCAGACCTAAAAATTATTTATTATACAACAGCAGGAAATGGGAGGATCTTTTCCCAGGCTTTCACCGTTCCCTTGCTGATGATTATGAATATAAAAATACATATTCAGAGAAACTGAAGAAAAAATACTTAAAGCAGAACAGAGCAGAAGTGAAATGAGGTAGGTCAAGAACTAAAACTCAAACAATAATAGCTGATATCTTCAGTCATACAGCACACTTTATTTTCTGTAGCATGCATGTTATGTGCATGCATGTTTATTTTCCATAGCATGCATGTTCCATAATGCATGGGATAATCCCGGATAATATCTGTATTGCTTCTGGAATTTAAAATTATTCCACTATATGTGTTCAGAAAGTTACAGACCATAAAGTGTTCCCCATTCAGTATATATTGTTTCCAACCACTTACCTTAAAAATGTTAGTAAATCCAATGAACATCTTTGGTGTATGTACATATTGGTGTTAATGTACATATTTTCTTTTGCATTTATTTACTCATTTAGTTTGTTTGCACTACTGTCCATTGTATTTTACATTTTATACTCTCTGTATTTTATAACATACAAATGAAGAGAGGTGAAAATGGTTTTTAATATTTACTTTGTACAAGTATCATTGCTATGCTGCAATAGCTTTGGCAATGCATGTAATACCGTGTAATGCAATACATGCATGCATCTAAATTTATAGTACAATACACCGAAACAGTGCTGATTTACTGTAAAGAAAAAGCAATAAGCAAGTGTCAATGCACTATAACCTTCATTTATCTTTAAATAAAACAAATAATTAATAATAATAGTCAATAAGTGAAGTTTATTCATAATTTCGAGAGGAGCACGTGATTATGATTGAACACGGCTGGTTCTGCATTAGCATGCATGATCCACCAATCAGGCCATTTTTAACCCACTATAAAGAGCCAGGGTTTTTTCACTACAGTCATCTTCGATTTGAAGAATCCGACTTCCGGTCTCGTTCACTTCCATTCATTTTTAGACATTAAAAACTGCTCATTACGCTGCTTGATGTTGCAATTTGATATTGTCTTGTTATATTCCCTCCATTTTTTTTCTTTTTAAAATATTTGCTGAATGATGTTTAACAGAGCAAGGAAATTTTCACAGTATGTCTGACAATATTATTTCTTCTGGAGAAAGTCTTATTTGTTTCGCTTCGACTAGTATAAAAGCAGTTTTACATTTTTTAAACACCATTTTAAGAACAAAGTTATTAGCCCCTATAAGCTATTTTTGTTTTCGATAGACTACAGAACAAACCATCGTTATACAATAACTTGCCTAATTACCCTAACCTGCCTAGTTAACCTAATTAACCTAGTTAAGCCTTGTAATGTCACTTTAAGCTGTATAGAAGTGTCTTGAAAAATATCTAGTCAAATATTAAAATAAAAGTCTGCTCTTCATTAAACAGAAATTGGGGGGAAAAATAAACAGTGGGGCTAATAATTCAGGGGGTATTATTTCTGACTTCAAATATCTATCTATCTATCTATCTATCTATCTATCTATCTATCTATCTATCTATCTATCTATCTATCTGTCTGTCTGTCTGTCTGTCTGTCTGTCTGTCTGTCTGTCTGTCTGTCTGTCTGTCTGTCTAGCTGTCTATCTATCTATCTCTCTATCTATCTATCTATCTATCTATCTATCTATCTATCTATCTATCTATCTATCTATCTATCTATCTATCTGTCTGTCTGTCTGTCTGTCTGTCTGTCTGTCTGTCTGTCTGTCTGTCTATCTATCTATCTATCTATCTATCTATCTATCTATCTGTCTATCTGTCTGTCTGTCTGTCTAGCTGTCTATCTATCTATCTGTCTATCTATCTGTCTGTCTGTCTGTCTAGCTGTCTATCTATCTATCTATCTATCTGTCTATCTGTCTGTCTGTCTGTCTGTCTGTCTGTCTGTCTGTCTGTCTGTCTGTCTATCTATCTATCTATCTATCTATCTATCTATCTATCTATCTATCTGTCTGTCTATCTATCTGTCTGTCTGTCTGTCTGTCTGTCTGTCTGTCTAGCTGTCTATCTATCTATCTATCTATCTGTCTATCTGTCTGTCTGTCTGTCTATCTGTCTGTCTGTCTGTCTGTCTGTCTGTCTGTCTGTCTGTCTGTCTGTCTGTCTATCTATCTATCTATCTATCTATCTATCTATCTATCTGT